TGGATGCAAGGTTTGGCGTGGACGTCCAGGATTGCATCCCAATGACGGTTGGAGGGCACTTCGGACAATTCCCCTTCCACAACCGTCATAACTACCTCTATATAAGGACTTCACCTTCTCACTTCACTCACACACTTCAAGTAATAGCTCTCTCATTCCCCTCAAGTTTAGTTTAGTAGCTCTCTCATTCTCATCAAGTTTAGTTTAGTAGTATCTAGCTGGTGGAATAGGAATAGAGTAGAAATCAGGAGTCCGGAGCCTTCGGAAGAGTTCAGGTATGGCTCTAGTAGCTTTTCTCTTCTCTTTTGTAAGCTTTGTAATTTTATTAGAATACTCTTTTATATAAATTTATGGTATTGAAATACTTTCCGAGTATATGAGTACCTACTTTACATTATGTTCATGTTATACTGAATATACGGTTAGCTTATCTGGGAGATGCTTTGGTGCGGGTATAATGTTTGCTTATGCAATTACTCTATGTCATGACGATGATATTAGAGTAGTATCTGGTAGTTTAGGCGTGGTGTCTAAATTACGGGATATCATTATTTGGGGTTATATATTGCGGATGAGAGGTGGGCCGCTGATGGTGACAGCTCAGTACGGGTATTCCTCCGCGCCGGTATATAATCTTAAGTTAATTCCCTAGGGAGGGTATTCCTTCGTATTTAGCCCCAGTTGTATGGTCATGACGAGCTGTCGTAAGGAACTCGGTAGTCAGGGGTGGCTTCTCGAAGTACAAAGAGGGCATCGGATAGATGGTATTAGCTAGTATATCGGTTAACTAGAATGTATGTATACTATGTATATTAGAAGTATAAAAATAGATTTTCTTCCTCTTTTCTTTCCACTTAGCTTAGATGATATATTATGAGAATGAGTAGTGAATGCTTGTGTATCACTCTACCCTTGGATTATCTTAACCCCTGCTTAGAATATGATCATCACAAGTAATATATAAATTATTAGTCAATGTTCTCTCTACATGATCTTCCCACGGGATAAAATAAATACGATACCATTAGAATACTCTCGGGTGAAATGTGTTTCTGCGGATGAACTCTGTAACCATAATATATCAGAAGTATTTCTGCGCCATTGCTGGGAATTATATTTCTAGTAATGTCGTTAAGAAATACCAACAACAAACACAAAGAAGAGTACAATGAACACACCAACAACCTTTACATAATAGGTAGACCATAACCTCAAATGCCCATCAAACAATCAACTAGGCTAACAGCTAACCAATCAGTAGCAAAGATACCTTTGTGGCCACTCAAAACAAACATTATACAAAACAAAACATTAAAGCATGTCAACCACCATAAAAACTTTAAGCAAACATAATAACATGATAATGCAATCATTAGACTTGTACACTCGTTCTCAAAGCATCAAGCAAACATTCCATCGAAATATGGTTTCATCTATCCCTCACAGCCTTCTTGGAACACTCAAGTCCAACCCCCTATTATGATATTGTGATTGGCTGAAAATATCATCACTAAAAAGAGCACTCAAACAAATATCCAGCCTAGCAAGTAGTTAAGATGCATGGCATGGTGGCTAGTCCATCTATCACTCAAATATTTTTCTCAAAATGGATAGTTGTGACCCTAACAATTGAGACAGAACAATAGAAGGCACTAGCACTCAACACACATACATTGTTTTATTACACTTACTATGTAGGAAAAGAAAACAGGCCCAACAGACAAGAGCAACAACAAAAACCTCTTAGCATCGTCATCACATATGAATACAAAATCTTAATGATATACAAATAAAAACATAGTGAAAGGCAACACAAGATCACACACATACATACAACGCCTTAATGATGACAAACAACCATGGTGAAAAATTAACACAAGTGTACTTGTACAAAGCATATGGAAAGGTAACTCTATTTACGCAGATGAGCAACGATATAAACCACATCAGGGTACCAATACAACAAGATAAGGAACATCTACAACAGGCATTAAGAAATATGGGAATCATAATCATTTGCAATACAAAAATAATAGTTGGATGCAAGTCGCAAACCCACAGCCATCCTATATGTGCATGTGTGTCAAGTTAATCATTGTTTTCCCTAGAATCTAAAGCCTACACTCTGATACCAACTGTAACACCCCAGAAATTCCCAAAAGCCTGGGATGCCACTAAAGAACCATACGACCATGTGAAAATGATGAAATTTTTACATTAGATTCTTTTTGTTATAAAAAAATTATTGTGGAAGCTTCGACATATAGATACAAGGATCTAAGATGGCAACAATCTGACACATATGAACAAACTAAGAATGGTAGATAAACCATGGTGAATATCTATAGTATTTAATAAATCCACTATAACAACAAACTCTAATTTTACCCCCTAATCACAACATTTATAAACTATGTGATATCATAATGTGCAGCGGTGTAGCTACTCCCATCCATTCGTGCAAACATATCCGACCGAGTACCTGAAAAGGCTATAAGGTGGTGAGAATAAATCTCGGCAAGCAAACGGCTTTGACAAGCTATTTAAACCATAGATTCATTGTATAGTTAATTAAATATCGAGTTATGATTCACATGAAAACAATTTGAACATCCAAGCACTAAAACATCATAACCTTATCAATAAAATCCACATCCTCACAAATCCTAGAGAAGAAAACACTTCTCAAAGATGTCTTCGACTGTATGATTTCCATAGCATCCTGCAATATGTGTGTATGCAATGCAATGATATGAACTACTGCCTTCACACCCAACAAGGTGTGAAGCTGCATCATATTACAACAATATACGATGATGTACCGGTACGGTCGCAACAATAGGTTCGTAGCATAAATCCAAATCCAATGCAAATGTGACGCGAATGTAGGTTGAATTCTAGAGTAATAATACGACAACTGCATTCCTACATAGGAGACCAATATACATAATTATCTCCAATAGCATAAAGCATAACCATAAGAATGTAAATCAATAAGTATGACTCGGATAGGTAAATCCTTTGTATAACATATAAAAGTATCTTGGTTGATGATATATAATTTCAAAGTAGAGGTAGAATAAAATAACAAGTCAAAGCGGTAGCAAACCACCGCTACGTTTACTTGCCTCTAACAACGAAGAGACAATACCAAGCATCACCACCTATTCACAAGTCAACCTCAGCGTATTCACTAAAACACGCATATAAAGTAACGACAAAAGTTGCACCTACTGCCTCATCCCACCAAAACACAATAACAAGGAATGCCACTTGAACTATAAACAATATTACTACTTCAAACCTTTATATCTCAAAATATAAAAAGGCTATGACTGCAAAAAAAATACATTTTAGAAATCTACAAAACAAGACCTAGTTCTTTTATGTAGAAAGCACTTTTTTGTTCTGCCATTTAAATGGTCTAATTCACACTTGAATGCAGGCTTCAGAATCTGTACAGAATTTCAGAGGATACATAGAAAACAACTATATCCGGAGTTCTACCCATCCGATCAAAGTGTACTTTACCAACATGGAAAGCTCACAGAAAACTCTAAGGGGCCTGATTGATTCCACTGTTTAACCTCTCCAAAAACAGTTCAATCTACAACTATCTAGATTTTGACAAAAAAAAGCAATAGTCATACTCAAAAATTCATATCGCTTATTCCACTTGAGATAAAATCATTCCCTTTGGTCAGAAGATAGATCACGATGTTATCTACAACGTTTCTGTGGACACTTTGTTCAGAATATATCATTTTGACCATGTAATTGATGGAAAACAGAGGCACTATAAATCTGCCCAGCCTAGCTAGAACTACCAATTCGATTCACAATGTCCAAACTCTTCTCTAACCGTCTTTAACCACGAATTAAACCACTAAATTCACCCCAGAACTGATGCACAAGGGGATAAACCTCACCTAGGGTTTTCCTTTTATATCCCACGGGAAACAGCGGGGAAACTCCGATCTAACCCCTCCTTCTACTCTTCTCCTCCTCCACGTTCCATTTTTCCACTTTGCTTCTTGATCCAAGCTATGAAGGTGGAGATCTAGGGAGAGCAAGGTCTGCTAGAGAGGAGAGGAAGCAAAACTAAGTATAGGAGGTGGAGGAGTCACAACCGGCGTCATGGGGGAAGGGAGGGGGGGATGGTTCGGTTCCTCTCCCCTAGGGTTTTAGGTGGGGGTAAGGGATTTGGCTAGGCTCTTGGGCCTTGACCCAAGCTAACTTGCCCACTTACAAAGGAACTTTATTCAACTAATTGTGGCTATCTTAATAAACCAAAAACATTATCTTTTATTTTTTTAGGGGTATTAGAACTATAGAGCGAGACTGCAGATATATACTTTTTATGTTAAACCATAGTCCTCTTAAATGGTTTAATTTTGATGAATATGATTATTTGAAATGATCATAAATCGATTGGTAAAATCTATCCAGTGCGTGTGCACTGCATGTTCTTATCTAGTGACCCTTTTGTGAGCCGTCTGAATCAGTTGATGATGGTTGAGATATATATTCATGGGTGTTGTACTAACCAAGAGACAAAAAGGGGACCACTTGCTAGAATATGAGGACCATATGCTATCTACCAGTTGTCATAGCAATTCACTTGTATTTTTTAGATCTGTTTGAACCACCCTACTCTACTTAAAGAGAAAATTCCCTGTGTACCCCTGAAAGTTCACCTAATCCCTTCTATACCCCCTGAGATTTGCTCATTCTCTCCCATGCCCCTAAATTTCAGTTTGGATCACTTCTATACCCCTTCCGTCAATTGACCGTTAGTTGACCGTTAAATTCACATCATAAAGTCTATTTTACCCTCTAGTATCAAGAAAATATAAATTTATAAAGTATATTGATGGAGTGTATAAATTTATTGTATGCGACTATTATATTTATGAGTTTATTTCGTGAGGTATTATTTGCGACGGAGCGGCGGCGGCAGGCGTCAGAGGGGCGGCGGAGCGGCACGGCGGTGTGGTCGTGGCGGCGGTGCAGGGCGTTTTTAGCTGGTGCGGGAGCGGGCATGAGAAGGGGAGGCGCGAGTGCGGTCGTGAGAGGGGGAGGCGCGGGTGTGGTGTCTATACGTATGTTTACGTTGGCTTCACCATCACCACTACGAATTTTTTAAGTAGTAAAGAGTAAAGATAGTGAGGAAAAAAATAATCTATACTATATAGTATGCATGTTAGCTTAGTCAATACTCAATAGTTAGCGATGCTATTAAACTTGCTCTAACCCGATGAGTGTTAATGAGTAATGACCGGCACAACACGCTAGCACGTGCGGACGAATTGCGACGGGAAATCACCATGGCCGAGCTTCCTCTCTATCTACTTCTCCTTGCTCTGCTGGTCGCCGTCCCCTTCCTCTGCCTGACCCGTTGGTCGCTCCGGCATGGCGGCGGCGGCGGCGGCCGGCTGCCTCCGTCGCCGTGGGCGCTCCCTGTCATCGGCCACCTCCACCACGTCGCGGGCGCGCTCCCGCACCGCGCGATGCGCGACCTCGCCCGCCGCCACGGCCCGCTCATGCTGCTCCGCCTCTGCGAGCTCCGCGTCGTCGTCGCCTGCACCGCGGAGGCCGCGCGCGAGGTGACCAAGACCCACGACCTCGCCTTCGCGACGCGGCCCATCACCCCGACGGGGAAGGTCCTCATGGCGGACAGCGTCGGCGTCGTGTTCGCGCCCTACGGCGACGGGTGGAGGACGCTCCGCAGGATCTGCACCCTCGAGCTCCTAAGCGCGCGACGCGTCCGGTCCTTCCGCGCCGTGCGCGAGGAGGAGGTCGGCCGGCTGCTCCGCGCCGTGGCGGCGGCGGCGGCGGTGGCGGCGTTGACGACCCCGGGGGCGACGGCAGCGGTGAACCTGAGCGAGCGGATTTCGGCGTACGTGGCGGACTCCGCGGTGCGCGCCGTCATCGGGAGCAGGTTCAAGAACCGCGCCGCGTTCCTGCGGATGCTGGAGCGGAGGATGAAGCTCCTGCCGGCGCAGTGCTTGCCGGACCTCTTCCCGTCGTCGCGCGCGGCGATGCTCGTCAGCCGGATGCCCCGCCGGATGAAGCGGGAGCGACAGGAGATGATGGATTTCATCGACGACATCTTCCAGGAGCATCACGAGAGCAGAGCCGCCGCCGGCGCCGAGGAGGACCTGCTCGATGTCCTCCTGCGGATCCAGAGCCAAGACAAGACGAATCCCGCCCTCACCAACGACAACATCAAGACCGTGATCATCGTAAGCCGAGCTCAGCTCGATCAGCTACCTCCCCACTTAAAAAGTTCAATTTCCTCTTCTTTTTGTGCAGGACATGTTCGTGGCGAGCAGCGAGACGGCGGCGACGTCGCTGCAGTGGACCATGTCGGAGCTGATGAGGAACCCTAGGGTGATGCGCAAGGCGCAGGACGAGGTCCGACGAGCCCTCGCCATTGCCGGGCAGGACGGCGTCACCGAGGAGAGCCTGCGCGATCTCCCCTACCTGCACCTCGTCATCAAGGAGTCGCTCCGGCTGCACCCGCCGGTGACGATGCTGCTGCCGAGGGAGTGCCGGGAGACGTGCCGGGTGATGGGCTTCGACGTGCCGGAGGGTGTGATGGTGCTCGTCAACGCGTGGGCGATCGGCAGGGACCCGGCGCACTGGGACTCGCCGGAGGAGTTCGCGCCGGAGAGGTTCGAGGGCGTCGGCGCCGCCGACTTCAAGGGGACGGACTTCGAGTACATACCGTTCGGCGCCGGGCGGCGTATGTGCCCCGGGATGGCGTTCGGGCTGGCCAACATGGAGCTCGCGCTCGCCGCCCTCCTGTACCACTTCGACTGGGAGCTGCCCGGCGGGATGCTTCCCGGCGAGCTGGACATGACGGAGGCGTTGGGGCTCACCACGCGGCGGTGCTCCGACCTCCTGCTTGTCCCTGCCTTGCGTGTGCCGCTCCGAGACCATGAGCGATAGATTGCTACAGTATCATTTGGAAATGGATAAGACATACAGAAAAAAAAAGAAGGATCAACTGGATGTCATCATGTCATCAGTATATATACAGACTCATACTCTCATTTGGTGATGTTTCAAGTGTTATCTGTAACTTTTAAATTACTGGGTTTTGTCATCATGTAACATATTTAACCTAGCATTGAATTTGTGGAGGGGAATGAGTAACTCACCAGCGGTGGCGACAACGACTTTCAGATTGTAGCATCAGCGTGTTAAAACTCCGACAGAGAACTTGGAATTCCACTACAAGAAACTTGTTAATCCATGACGAATTCTTGGTGACGGATTCATAAACCGTCACTGACAGAGGCAATCCGTGACGATAATTTGTTTTCCGTCGTGGACGTGCACTAGTGGATATTCTTGGCCCGTTAACTCGTGACGGTTTTATCCAGATCGTCACAGTGTGTGATTTTAAAATCGTCACAGTGTGACGATAATCAAAAGGCATTTCAAAACTTGTTTTGCTTGAAAAGGATTTGAATTTGAGGTTCAAATGAATTTAAAAAAATGAAAAGCTACACTCTCTCTTGGACCATTTCTGGCTCACTCTCTCCTCTTGGGCTCGGGCCAGCCTCCCTCTCGCGCTCTGCCCCTTCAGCTGGGCCAGCGGCCCATTTTCCACATGGGCAGCCAAGACAGGCTAGCCGCAGGCCACCCTGCGCCTTGTAAAAAAACAAGAAACAAAAAAATGTAGCCCTCTAGGGGACTCGAACCTACGACAACACGCACAGTATTCATGAGGAAACCCCACTGAGCCACTGAAGCGTTTTGCCAAACGACGTGCACTGTATTATATATATTAAACTGTAGCAGGTAATGGACCTGCCACCTACTCGTGGTGTTCATCATAAAATTCACGAGAATAGCTGCAGATTTTTACTTTTAATGCGTGTATAAAAATTTAAATTAGTTTATCTCCCTCATACTAACTTCAACTTTAATTATTCTTTTTTATAAAATTTTCTAAACTCATGATCTATCCATTTATTGTGCTATTACAACTATTATTTTTGTCATACTTTCATGTGACTTTGTTTTATCAATTGAAGATTTAAATTTCAAAAAGTGGCAACTTCAAACAACATTTTGAAGCAGTAAATGATTGCAAAACAAATCAAACCCAAAAGACAAATTTTTTTTGAACTAAATTATTTTGTTACTAATTTGTTACTTGTATATGTTGCATATGGTAAAACTGAAAATATTTGCATATATATAGTGTGCGAACAAAAAATATTTGGAGCTTGTAGGAATTTAACCTAACACCTATAGTTATCCAGCAACATTCATAGCTACTTCTTTTAGTTGATTATGTATGCACTCACTTATACTTTTCACTACAAGAAATATATTAAAAGTTAAAGCAATTTAATCAAGTGAATTAATCAGGAAACTAAATTTTTCCTTTAAAAATCATGGCCGGAAATATTTTTGTAAAATTCTAAGCGGTCTAAATTATTCTCTAAAATTTTCCGTGAATTTTCGGAGCTCAATAACTAGTTTTAATACCACAAAATTCATTTAACCTATTAAAATAAATGGAAAATAAATTAAAATATCTCTCTGTCCTTGGGCCTTTTTTGGCCCAAGTGTTACTCTCTCCCTCCCTCAGCCCGCAGCCTTTCTCTCCCTCCTGGGCCGGCTTCCCATTCCCCTCCTTCTTCTTCGGGCTGCCAGCCTAGCCCATTTGCTCCCCCCTCGCCGAGAAGTCCATTTTAGCTCCCTCTTCTCAATTAATTTCAAAATATAAAAAATCCGAGTCAAATTTTATCATACTAAATAAACTTATGTGAAAAAGTTATCAAAAACAAAGTTGTATAACTTAATTAGATCTATCAATTTTATTTTGGTTATTTCTCCATCTGACTTTGATTGACCTATATAAAATTTGAATTTTAAATATAAGAAAAATCAAATAATTTTTCTGGTAGTAAATAATTTGAAATGAAAAAAAAATGTCAACAACAAAGTTGTATGACTTATCAAGATCTACAACTTTTGTTTTGGTCATTTTGCTATATGACTTCATTTCAATAATTTGAATTTGAATTTCAAATTATGACAACTTCAAACAGCAGTTTCAAATACTAAATGATTTCAACTGAAAAAGTCATCAATAACAAAGTTATATAAATCATCAATATCTATAACTTTTATTTTGGTCATTTCTTCATCCGACAAAGTAATAGTAACATTATTTATAAAATTTACATATCTCTCTCATAGTTTATAAACTGTATAAGAGATATGTACATTTTGTGAATAATGTTACAATTCGCTTTAACGGATGAAGAAATGACCCAAATAAAAGTTATAGATCTTGATGAGTTATACCACTTTGTTATTGATGACTTTTTTAGTTGAAATCATTTAGTATTTGAAAATGTTGTTTGAAATTGTCATAATTTGAAATTCAAATTCATATTGTTCAAACCAAGTCATATAGAAAAATGACCAAAACAAAAGTTGTAAATATTGATGAGTTGTACAACTTTATTGTTGATGACTTTTTCAGTTGAAATCATTTATTATTTGAAAATATTGTTTGAAGTTGTCATAATTTGAAATTCAAATTCAAATTTTTGATACAAAGTCATATAGCAAAATGACCAAAACAAAAGTTGTAGATCTCATTAAGTTATATAACTTTGTTTTTGACATCTTTTTCACATAAATTTATTTAGTATGATAAAATTCGATTTGAAGTTTTAATATTTTGAAATTAATTGAGAGGAGGGAGGAAAAACAGACGCTGGGCCGGCGGCCCGAAGGAGCAGCGGGCGCCAAACTTTCAGTGTGGCGGGATGTTGATCAAAATTTCAACGTGAAATGACCATTTTGTCCAGATATTTTAGTGGTAACTTCGGATGCACCATGGGTATTTTAGTAAAATCGCATTGGTTCCTCAACCCTAGCCGATCCAAATCAGATAAGCCGCCACCACACGCGAGGCGCTACTGCAGATGAGACCGCCGGCCTCTGTCTCCGCCGCTGCTGGGCGCCGGCCTCCGTCTTCGCCGCCGCCGGGCGCCGCTCACCGCGCCGGCTTCCTCCCCCTTCGCCGCTTGCCATGCCGGCATCCGTCTCCACCGCTGCCAGGCGCGGGAGCGGTGGATCCGCTGCCGCCGGCGCCTCTCGGGCCCAGAGGGGGCGTGCAGCGCAGCATCCGGGGCAGCCACCGGTGACGTGAATCGAGGTGGAAGAAGCACCGGCGAGGGAGAGCTCCGACGAGTCCTCCTCCTCCTCCTTCTCCGGCAGCAGGTCAGGGCGCAGATCCCCTCCCAGCAGCGCGCCTGCTTCCTACATCTCGCGAGCTCCGTCCATCGAGAGGCTGCTCGAGGAGGACGCCGCACTGCTGCACGCGTGAGCATAGGGAGCACGGTAGGCGATCATGGTGGGCGAGGACGGTTTGACACGGATGAAAAAGAAGAGGAGAGGCGCCAGTCTTTCTTTCTTTGTTTCTTGCATTAGTTTTCTTGGCGAGTTTTGACGCATGTGCCTCACCCATGTGCAGGAGGGCGGAGGCGGGATCTGCTACTGTGAGAGGGACTGGTGATTGGTGAAGCGCCCCAACTTCGACTGCGAGCGACCGCATCCCAACTGTAACCAATCTCTCTCTATCCGCTGATGCTAGTTGCTTATCAAAGTTCCTGAATCTGATGAATGCAGAAACCTCTAATTTAGTTAAGCAAGTCAATTCATGCTGTAACAATATGATCTCTGACAAAAAACTGAATTCCTTGTTTCTGCAAATGCAAGTGCAGTCATAAATAAGAAAGAATATTCGTGAAAGTTTCATAGAAACTAGATAAAAAAAAGAAAGTGTTTTAGATAAAAAAAAAGAATGTGTTTATTTTCAGAAATCCACAGTTGCTATATTTTCAGATATCTTCAAAACTGAATAATGTTTTAATCCATTTGCCAACAAAAAGAAAAAGAGGTGCAGAAAACAGCTTACTTGGGGGATACCATGGATCATGCTTGATTTGATCAGCTCAACGGTGATTTGATGCTATCTAGATTCATCCTTTTTTTTTTAAGTTCAACACTGTACACATTTGCTGGACATAATGCATATATGTTGTTTTCAGCGTGACAAATACAATGAAGAAGAACCTAATGCATTTGATTTGTTCAAGGAGTTCCACTACAGCAAGAAAAAAAATGCTACACCACTGCTGTATAGTAGGCTATTGTAAGATAAGTTTCAAACTTTGCTCTTTGTAATGCTTATTTTTAATTCTCTCATCAACAACAATGTTTGCTCCTTGCTTGCTAGACTCAAATGGAAAACAAGCTGTCTACAAGTTCGATGAAGAGGACTCAATCTGAGATGGAAGCGGAAACTTAATCTTTTGATCAGTCAAGTTCGATCAAGTTAATTCATGCATGATGCTATATCTTTTGCTACTACATGCATTTTGCTGCTATTGCTAACTTGTGTCAAGTCAATTTTTGACTAAGCTAAGCTATACATGCTTGCATTTTGCTGCCGCAGCATTCATTAAGCTCCTAGACTTGTATGCATTGCTTGGAATCTCTATTTGTTGTTGGCTTGAGCCATGGTAAACTGCAAGGTTGTATGCACTTTGAATGTTGTAATCTGATGTTGGATGAAAAATCATGTGATATGATATTGAATGGAAAAATGATATTTCTATTTGATTTGCTGCTGCAACTATTAGTTGCATGGGCTGTGTATATGGGCTTTAGTTGTGAAATTAAGCTGTATATATGGGCTGTAAGCGATGTAGTAGTGGGCTGAAAAGGGCACCAAAAAATGGTGACAAAATTGGGCTGCAAAGCTGCTGAAATGGGTTGTAAAGCTATTGAAAATGGGCTGCCAAAATGGCTGAAAAGGAGCTGCGAAAATGGATGGAATTGGGCTAAAAATTGGCCCATCTTTGATTTTGGCCTGTTAATAAATAGGTTGAGGTAGTGTCTACGTCATCATCCACGTAAGCAACCATGTAAGCATCCATGATGATGTGGCATTCAATCCGTGACGGTTATTTTTCGTCATAGGAAATGAACTTGGGCTGGGCTAACTAGGCCTCGGGCTCTATCGTGATGGTTTAAAACCGTCACCGATTCCATTAATCCGTGATGGTTTTTGGTAAACCGTCACAGAGGTTAATCCATGACGCTCAATCCGTGACCATCTCT